AATAGCAATCTTTTTTTTTTTTTTAATAAGTAAAAGGAAGGCACTCTATGATAGTAAGGAAAAGTGTGGTATGGTAAAAATATAACAAGACCATTTATCATTGTCAAGTATTATGCACTTATATTATGTATATAAGGCTGTGTGCTGTGTTTTTATACAACTGACAGTGAAGTAGGCTTGTGTACTTACTTCAGCATCACCACCAAACATGTATGTGAGTGATGAGTTGTGCCACAACAATGGCTACGATGTCACTAAGCTATGGGAATATTTTTGTTCCATTATAATCTCATGGGATCACAGTTGTATCTGTTCCCCATTGTTGGCTGAAATGTCCTAATATAGTGCAAGAGGCAATTTCATGGTCTGGATGTCCTGTAGTCGATTTAACCAATCCTCTTTGGATGGACATGTAGGTTACTATGCTGTTCCAATCAGCTCTGCAACATATGCCCTTGTATAGATGCCATTTTTTTCCCCCTTCCCAGAAGTGCAGTCACTGAGTTTTTCTCTCACTTGCCTCATCTCATGACTGACAGGTGCTCCTTGGGAAGGCTGTTTGCTGCCACAGTTGGAGGACCTGAGTTTGAATCCCCACTCTGCTACTTACTAGCTCTGTGACCCTGGGCAAGGTCCTTCATCTCTTTGGGCCTCAATTTCTCCCATCTGAATGTGGGGTCTGGTGTGAGACCTGCCTTGTAGGGTTGCTGAGTTGTGGAGTTTCTGGTGAGCATTTATTGATGTCAGTGTAAACAGGAGGTCGGGCCCTTCCTGCCTCAGCTTCCACAGCAGGCCCCAAATCAGCAAAGGCTGACGTTCAAAGGAAATCTTTCAGGGCCTGCTCTACCCACCTGCTAGAAGACTCTCCTGCAGCAGGTAACAAAACACCAGCGGGCGGCTGGGGTTGTAGCTCAGTGGTAGACGCTTGCCTCACATGTGTGAGGCACAGGGTTCAATTCTCAGCACCTCATATAAATGAATGAATAATATAAAGTCCATCAACAACTTAAGAAAACAAACAAACAAACAATGGAGAGAGAGTAGCGGGCCAGTCTCTGCCTCACCCACCTTGCCAGAGTTGTCCCTTGCCAAGGGTTTCCCAGGAACCTCCTGATTCCCAAAGGTGAGTTCCCTTGCTGCAGCATTCGCTGAAGATAAGGTCACCGTGTTCAAGGGTCTCTTAGCACAGGACATCCAACCTGCCCTGGAGGGAGGGGCATTGGCTTTCCCTCTGCTACTCTGGTCAACCTGAGACCCAAGCTGTTTCTGGAGACATTCTGGTCTCTGCCAAGGGAGAGGATGGCAGAGTGGACAATCACGAGAACAGGACTCGGCAGCCCTGGAGGCAGATGTGCTGGGGCTTACCAATGGGGTAAATGTTGGCAGGTCACTTGACCTCTGTGAGCGTCCAGGCTGTCATCTGTGAGGTCCTATTACCCAGCTCCCAGGCTTTCCATGCACCATCTCAGAGGATCCTCAAAACACCCTCAGGGGCTGGCTTCCTCAGCACCTTCATCTTGCACATGATAAAACTA